AGACCCCTTTACAGAAGAGTGATGGGTTGGTCCTGCTTGTGCCTGGGTATAAGTGGGGCGTGTGTTTTGGGGTACCCAGCTGGGCACATTGATTCGTGAATAGCCGGGTAATCCGGTACGACTTGTCTATAATCTAGCACCGTAGTAAGAACTTGAAGATGAAAGATGGTAAAATGGTCCTTATTGCTTACCACCTGCTTAAAAGTAGCACATGTGCTTACATAAAATGGTTAGTTAATGAACTAACGATGACTGCTAATAAAATTGAATATAAGGACGCACGTTTAGTAATGCTCCTGCTGATGCAATAAACCCAAAAGCCAGATAGCCTTGCATATCTTTGGAGTCTTTTCTTTTCTTCTGACGGGTAAGCCTTGCGGAGTACAATTGAGTACTCAGGATTTGTTCTACCCTGTTGCAGGTGACAGGAACATGAGAAGTTGATTCTTGTGTGTGGAAACCTCCTGCTGGGCTCAGTGAGGATTTCCTTAACGTTGCGGACATGAAGTTTATTTCAAACTTCCACCCAAAATGTTTTACAAAGGAAAAACTTATAACCTGCTATGATGTATATAACGGATCAGCCTGTTAATGTTTAACTTGTCATTAAATAATTTTATTTCCGCTGATATTATACTCTGATGCTGCATGAAAAGTGATGTAAGAAATGACTAAAATGTTTTAAGTTTTATTCTCTCATTTGTGATCCTGATAAAAAATATGGATTTTTGGGTTTTTCCTTAGGGTGTGCTCGATGGAACTGCCTGATGTAGCTCACCTTCGGGGTGCTTAGTGTGTGTGGAAGATAAGCCTCTCCATAAGGGTGTTATTTCGGGTGGTTCTGCCACATTAGTTGGAGTCTAACAAAATTAGATTTATAATTTTTGGATAGTTCTATAAATATATATTGAATTTACAAGTTTATAATATTTACAACATTTAGGGACCAGGATGACCCAACTAAACAAGTTCGAGGACCTAAATAGGTTATTTGTAAGTTTAGGAATATAGATTATATAGTGGAATGAGTTTGAGGACCTAAACGAACGATTTGTGAGTCTAGGAATCGGGATGACATAGATGAAAAAATTTGAGGACCTAAATCGATTTGCGAGTTTAAGTATCAGGATGACACAGTCGAATAAATTTAAGAACCGCTAGTGGACTTTACTTCCATCTGTATGTTGCCTAAGTTGTAGACATCGGTTCCTAAAAAGTCGCACGCCGGTTGTAGGTCCCGTGATTCTGCACACATCATCGTCGTGATGTTCCTTGGAGAATAGGATTGGGTAGTTTCTCACCGAGAACTGAACCAAGCCAAACTGAAGGTCGTTTTTTTCCTGTTTCGGCTTCGGTCTTTGTTTTCTAGAAGGTCGGTGTTCGGCTATGGCTTCAGTTTTGTACTCGAATGGAACTGAGCAGCCAAACAACCGAAGACAAGCCAGGAGCGAACGTAAAACAAGCAACCCACCTAAGCTAGTCAGCCCGATAATCGTGGTCGCTGGTCGCAGCATAAGCCCACTACCTAATAACATCTCCTCACGCCCTCCCCCGTCCCCGTTCCCGTCTCCTAGTTCCAACTCCAATCGGTGCCTCCACTCCGTCGTCCGTCCCATGCCCCAAATCCAAACCCTAGCTTCAAGGCGGGTGGCAGCGCGGCAGTGGTTCAAGGCGAGCCAACAACGGCGCGAGGAGCGTCGCGCTTCTCCAGTGAAAGGACAGCTCAGTTTTATTAGTTTAAACCGGAAAACCAATGTAAAAAACAAAACCGAACCTATCTGTTCTCTGTTTTGAAATTAACCGATTATGAGAAAATGTCAGTTTAAACTGAATGCCCAGTCCTACTAAAGAAGATAGTGCTACTATAAAGTTAAACCACATGATGCATGTTATTAATGTGTAATCAGAACTTGAATTTTATTTTTTATTTGAATTTTTTCATACATGTCTCAATGGTTAAGCAATACATTGCTGCTGAGGAAATGTTAATTCATTTGCGCAGTGGGTTGCGTATGAAGCATATTTTTTTCGAGCTAAAACATTTTTTATGATTTTTTAATAATAAATTAGATTTTAGTATTTTAAATACATATTTATTCTAGAAAAATATTTTTATAATTATTGATAAAATTTAATTGATCTTTCTAAACTATCACAAAAGTTCGATTCACATTTCTCGTGAATCTTGACTAAAGTGGCACCACATAGAACGGCTGATCAGCGAAAATACCTTAGGAAAATAAATCAGATAATTTTAAAATTTAGAGAAGTCTAAAAATCTGTTTTTTTAATTGTGGTTGGGGGATAAATTGGATTTGTGCTGTAGTTTTTTTTTTATCAGGGATTTGTGCAGTAGTTGAGGGAGGCTGGGCCTGGTCGCGTTATATTGGGACGCAAAGGATGGGGTGTGCTAGGATGGGCTTGAACTGAAATGAAACAGCCCAACACCGCCGAAGCCCTAGGCAAGTTTTGCCAGCTAATTTGGCTTGTTATTACCTGCTGGGTCTCGATCGGTCGCCGCCTCCCCGGACTCCGGTCCTCTCCGTGTGGCCGTGGGAAGGGGAAGGGGAAGGGGAAGGGAACGCCTTCCCTCTTCCGCCGAGCGGCTGCTCCATCCTTTTCCTTCCTTGTCTCCGTCTTCATCAACCAACGGATTGCCGCCGACTCCGACCATCGTAGACTGTCCCCCGGTTCGTTCCTCGATCCCCTTTTCTTCTATTGCTCCTCGATTCAAAAAAAAAAAAAATCTAGTCTAGTATCCCCAATTTCCAAACCCTAATCCCCCCGCATCCCTCCTCCTCGATCACCCCATAGAACAGAGCAGGCAGATGGATGGAGGATACGTATACGCGCAGAAGATTACACACCCTGCGTTATTTCCTTTTTAGGCTTGGATTGGACGTTTGGTGTTCACCTCACCTCATCTCAGCTCTAACGAATCTTTGTTTTCCTCCTCTCTAGGTCTTTCTCCAACGATATCAGCGGATCGATCGATTCGATTCCATGGCCGGCTGGACCAATTCCACCGGCACCGGCAGCGGAGGCGGTCGAGGATCAGGAGGAAGAGGCTTCACGAACCACCTTTATGCTAATAATTCCATTGACATGATCCATGGAGGTACCGGCGGCGGCGGCGGCGGCGGAGGTAGCGGCAGGTTCATAGGAGGTCGGTCAAGGGGGAGGCCGCCCCAGCAGCCTCACTATCGCTACCGCCGTGTCGATGCCGTTCATCGTGACTCCCCGCCCGCCTCCCTATCTGACCAGCAAGCGGCACCCTCCACTTCCAGCCGCCACGCGCGGCTAACTCATCCCATCTCAACCGCGGACAAGTCTTCCGCCTCTAGAACCGCGGCTCCTCCAAGCACCAGGGAGCCCGACGACAAGACTATCCGCAATGCCGCCAACTTCGAGTGCAACGTCTGCTTTGACATGGCCGCTGACCCTGTGGTCACCAAGTGCGGCCATCTCTTCTGCTGGGAGTGCCTCTATCAGTGGCTCCATGTCCACTCTCACCACCGTGAGTGCCCTGTCTGCAAGGGCCAGGTAGCCGATGATGCTATCATACCCATCTATGGGCGTGGTGGCTCCGCGGCCTCTGTGGACAATGCGCCACCAAGGCCCACTGGAGCCAGAGTAGAGAGCTCCAGGCAGCAGCAGCAGCAGACTTCCCCCCATCCCACGCTGTTTGATTTCCCAAGCATTATGAACTTGAGAATGAGAACTACCTCATTCAGAGAGGCTGTCTTGAGCATCATGTCTCCCAGCATTGAAGACACGGAGATGGACAATTCTGATGCCATGACCTATTTGGACGACGGTGAATTCTACCCAGAGGTCAATGAATTTGACATGGAGGTGGATCGATATGGTGACCCCGATGATGAGGTTTATGAATATGACTACCATTTTGGAGGTGTTCCGTTGTTTGGGTCTGCTGGGACTGAGGCCAGCAATCCCAGCTCTTCACAGGCACATTCTGATATGATCAGTATTAGAGACAACACTGTTGGCACTACCACTGGTGGTTATCATCATCAAGAGTTTGGCTACTCTGGCGCGAGACCTAATAATAATAGGGGACGGCGTGGTCGTCGTAACCGCACAAGGGTGTCAGCAGATCACTTTTTGAGCACTGATGAAATGGTGATGGCGTTGCCGATGCCGGGTAGGAGTGGTTTTATCCATAATAATAATGACGGCAGTTCTAATGTTAGTGCAGGCGCTGCCTTTCGGCCTAATGGTGGCTGGACTGAGAGAAGAGGAAGAAGCAACAGGAACTCGAATTCAGGTGGTGGAAGAGGAGGGATGCAGGAACGCAGGAGACAGAGGACACACTACATCTGATAGTGATGTTGGGACATGCTTGGCAATAGCATTGATGAGATAAACAAACTTGTTAATCTGTCATCTTCCTTTTTTTCTTTGTTTCTGTCTTAATCCTTTTGTAGTCCGTGGCTATGCGCGCCTTATTAAACATATTGTTCATCTTTTCTCTCCTTTTAACCCTGATGAAATGCTTTGCTTGGTTAATGTTACTACTTTTTAGTACCATTAAAGACACTAGACTCATAAACTGTGGCATTGGACTAGCTGCAGAACTTAGGCCGTCTTGTTTAGTTGTTTAACTACGCTGTGCAGGCAAAAATTTGTTGCTGGCGGCAGTGCTGAAACTGTCTAAGCAATTGCATCAAGAAGCATGACTGCATGAGTATTCAATTGTTTGTCGTACAATGTTTGGAACCAAGAAACAGTTGATTTCTCTTGCACGCATGTCATAGTCAATTCAGAGGTTTGGAGGAACCAAGTTATATAAAAATCGCAAACATTGGAATGATTGGTTTGTTTCGGTGCCCGATTACCAGCTCTTAATCGTCGCACAAATACATTACAGAGGATCAGTTATAACGGCATACATTTGCTGATATAGATAGATATACTCTAGGCAACAAATAAGCGCTGACAGAGCTGAAATACAGATGCAGCTCCTACCCTGTTCTAGACTAGTTGTCGTCTCCGTAGGCGAGGAACCGGTAGCGATCCTCGTACGGGCCGTCGAAGTAGAGGTCGGCCTCGAACCAGCGCGGGTACCTGACCAGATCCCCGGCCACGAAGTGCATGTAGTCGTCGCCGTGGACGGCGCCGGCGGGGATGACCTTCACCTCCCCGGACACGACGTACACGAGCTGGTCCACCTGCCAGTCCCACGGCATCCGGCACCGGCCGCCCGTGCGCCACGACGACCACGTCTCCATGACCCGCAGCGCCTCCACCCGCGCCCGCGCCACCTCGCCGCGCTCCACGCGCACCTTGTACACGTCCTCCAGGGGACGCCCCAGCAGCGCGCCGCCGCCGCCTGCTGGCGCTGCTGCCTCCGCCGCTCGTATTCTTACTCCTCTTCGGCTACTGCTGCTAGGAAGACAAGGAGGAGGCCTGTGCGCCGCGGGGAGCACGAGACAGAACCCGCCGGTGCTGGCGGCGGCGGGCCTCATCGCGCGCGAGGCCCCTATCCTTTCCTCTTCTCCGGCCTGGGCTTTGGGTTGGGTTTTGGCGCTCTGAAGAAGCGAGGGACGGGGCAGGCAGGTGCCTTATCCTGTATCCTCCGCACTGCTCTGTTTCTCAAGTGGCGAGGTCCGTCGTCACATGCTCCCCCCCACCCAAAAAAAAAATGGCAGTTTGACACTGTAAACACACACTGCCACTTTGATTAGAGTAAGAAATGAGCGAATGTTATTTTGTGCGGTGGCAATGGGCAAATACGATGTGTTGAAACTGGCTGTCTGCTATACAACTATGGGGCCTGTTTGGTTCCTTGACAGCCCGTCGCGCGACAGCGATAAGCGAATGTGGCTCGGACGATGCGTTCGCGATTTTCGAGCGTGCAGTTCATTTTTTCGCGTTTCAGTTGCACGTGGTCGTCCAACGCGGGTCGAATGCAGACCATTCGGCGGGATTTGTTCGCGTTCTCCGCTGAAAATTCGACGCTGAATCAAACAGGCCCTATGCAAGGATTGACGGTTACATGAGATTCAGTTGGACAATAGAGCCATCATGCTACTAGGCTTACATGGGCAAACGCTACCCCTCCAACAAAATTACACTAGCACTTTGCATTCCATCTCCAATCAAATGACTGCGATTTCAGTAAACTGTTTCATCAGATCACACCAGACCAGACGAGTAGCTCTCTTGCACTTAATTAGTGCATGGTCATGTCACCGCTCAGGAGTCAGGGCTTAGCAGGCGGCGGCGCACGTATGGGATTACATTTCTTCAGTTTCAGACGACGAAACCACAAGAGAGCCATGTCATCAGTGGCAGTATTTACAGTCACTTCCACACACACAGGCGCGATGGATGACGATGCCTGCTTTCGAGTAGCAGACGAGTACGATAACACCACCGTCCCTTACATCATCACCACGGAACCGGCGACTGTAACTCTGCCTACCTAGCCTTGCCAGATGCACCACCCAGTTCATAGCAGGTATAGCCAACACCAATTGGGGAAACACAAAAGAAGAAAACAAAGCGTGCAAAGCCTAAATCGCAAGATGATCCTTCAATGGGCGTATCACGAGGATCAAATCATCTGTTCGTCCTGTTACACGTGGTTTTCAGGATGCCGATGATGATGCTGAGGTTATCCGTCCAGAAGCACGCATTTCGTCCAGAGTGGTCGCTAGCCAGTCCAACCCTTCATACAGGCCATCGCCTTTCAAAGCGCAGGTGCCCTGGATGTGCCAGATGCGGTTCGTCAGGTCATACAGCCCAAGACCCTCACACACTTCCATCGGAGTCATTGCTCCCCTCTGCATTAGCATGCAAGTTACCAAAGTGAACATTAGTATGTAAAAAAAAGGGAGACAGGCCATTTATCTGACACAAAAGTATAACTAAATTTGAGCTTGGTTAGTGCAGTACAAACATCTAATGCTATCACACCATATGCCAACAATACAGAACACATAACGCCTGCAGAATTACGTTTATGTTAAACCAACATATTGACATATTCTGTCGACAATGGAACAGAACTGCTTATACACAACTAAAAGATGGAGCAGCTATTTCCGGTACAGGCATTGGAATGCCGGCAGACTTAGGCAAGAAATTAATTTGCAAGTTTATATTTATGAATGAAACATATTCGTTAACGTTATATATGAACAAAAAATAATCAGACTCAGCCAGACAGAATCATAAGCCAGAACTGAAAAAAAACAAGAAGTCCAGGAATCACAAATCACCTACTAAAACGAATCATAATATAAAATAAATGCTCCAGATAAAACATAGTTGAACATACCATGTCTTGCTTGTTAGCAAACACCAATAGCACACTGTTAAGCATAAAAGGGTCATTGATTATAGCCTGCAATAGATTTAAGATTTCAAAAACAAGTTAGAGTAGATATTACAGAATCTCAGTGCACAAAGGCACCCATTAGTAAAAGGAAATAAAAACCTGAAATTCTGCCCTGGCTCTCCCAATTCTCTCTCTATCCAGTGAATCAACCACGTAAATCTGCAAGTTCAGCAAATAATGAGGAGCATCTTACATTTCAAGAAAGCAGTGTTTACTACAAATCAATGTAAATAAATTAAGGTTGAGCTATAGCATAATAAATGAAGATCTTGAGCTAGGATATATATATGTATATCAGCAGCTACGAAGAATGAACTACTTCCTACAATAATATTATGTTTTCTGGTATCTATATGTGCTAAGTTATAAAGAGTAGTAAAAGATGCCTCAAGCATCCACAAAGAAGTCAGTGGACCTATATGCTTGGGAGTGGTATTGGTCTACCGGAGTTGCACTCTGAGCTACGAATATTAAATCCAAATGGGCACAACTAAGTGGAAGAAACATTACAGCACAAACACTTCTATGTAGAATTTCTACTTTGAATAGAATGTATGCTGAAATGAGAGTAAAATAATGACCAGAGCATCGGTGTTGTTGAAGTAGTGCCTCCACAAGGGCCTGAGCTTCTCCTGGCCACCAACATCCCACACAGTGAATACTACATTCTTGTACTGAACCTTCTCAACATTGAAACCTACAACGTGATAAAATGCATGCTATCACTAAACATACGAATGAACGAACATGGCAGATGCAGAGTTGGACAAAACTGTAATTGGCAATGGTTGAAACCAAAAGTTATGAAATGCACAAGCAGACAGCTGGTACAATTGTACCTATGGTAGGGACAGTGGAGAGAACTTCACCAATGTGAAGCTTATAGAGTATGGTGGTTTTCCCAGCTGCATCCAACCCAAGCATCACCACCTGAGGACAAAAAATATGAGAGGCCATTCTATTAGAGGCATGTTCAGCTTAAAAAGGATACTGGTACTAATCTCCGATGATACAAAATATTAGAGGCATGTCGTTAAGAAGACATGATACATGGTTGAAACACAGTATGCCCTGCACTTGAATTGGCATGGTGCTGTAGACACTATGCAAACACCTAATCTGGAAAACGGGTGAAGTAATAATCCATCAATATATCATTTGACCCAGGTACAATTTGATCTGGCGTATGAAAGATCCAGCACGCTGTGGCTGGCAACACATCATTCTACTCTCCTAGGATGACTGGCAGCTCAACGCAGAGATTTATTGCCGGTATAAATGATCCACTACTAATAGAGTGCAAGAAATCAAATATATAACCGTCAGGAACAAGAAAGATTAGCACAGGACACTATAGCTGTGTATGGCTGGACAGCATCATGACTCATTATTTCCTTGCCCTTGGATGTTAGTGATTGGTAGCCAAAACAGTGCTGGCAGATTGTTGGCGGAACAAATGATTCACTACCTATTCAGTAGTAACTAAAATCAATGCTAGGAGACATGGAGATAACAGTGCGACAAGACCACCGCCGCCCTTGTGAACGGATCGGTGTATCGAGGAGCCCGAATCATTGCAGTCTCCTGTCGAGATGGGAAGGGAGCGAGGGGAAACAGGAGGGGAGGAGATAGCGTACCCGCATCTCCTTGTTGCCGAAGAAGGCATCGAAGAGCTTTCGGAAGGCCTGCCCCATCTCCTGACCTTGCCCCTCGATCCAACCGGATCTGGGAGGCCGCAGCGGGGAGGGAGGTGACGAGACAGGCGGCGCAGGCGGAGGCGGGGAGGGCGGCACCTCGGATGGAAGGTTCTAGAAGGTCAGAGGGCGGGCGGGCTAGGTTTTGGAGGAAGGATCGGCGGCAAGACGACGAGAGGTAGGGTGCGGTGCGGCCGTGGAAGCCAGGAGGAGAGGGCGGACTCGCACTGGCCTCACCTGCCCAGACCCCAGAGTGGCGTCGTCCACTGGATGCGATGCGATGCCGGGTCGATCGATCTGGGCCGTCCAATCTGTGTTTGGCAAGCTTTCGCTCAACTTTAAAGTTGGTTGGTCCTGCATGATTGATGGACGAAGATTGCAATTGTAAATGGAATAATTTTTGCGTAGGAGTGATTTATTAAATGAGTGAAATACACTCTATATTCCTAAACTATTCCCTTGTTGTCATATGGATCCATGCATTTTGAAGGTGATCATCTAAGTCCTTGAACTTTTTATGAGGTTCATTCCGTAGACGTCGGTATCCCAATCCATATTCCAAAATATTATGATATTATGATCCCGTTAATTCAAAACAATATCAAATTCTGGATCCTAGATTTTTTAGTATCCTGATTCTATATAAAGGTTCTATATGATCTTGTATAAACTTTCATACTATTATGATACTATGGTCAGTGTTGTTTATTTGGTCTGATTCTTGGTGGCGACCATCTCACAAAATCACTATTCACGTCCCCGCCGTAGCAAGTATTTTTCTCTCACAACAATCGGTAAAGCAGTATTTTTCGGTCTGCTTTAACAGGCCCTATAATTCTATGCAATAATCAATATACATGACTTCTTAGATGATTCATCCGTGAAAAAAAATACTATTTAAAGTTAAACGGTGTTGAAAATAATGCCAAGAATTGTGCTTAAATGTAAAAAAGTTAGTAAATAAATCAAAATCAATATTATTGTAACAACCCAAAAATCCATACACCAAAAATTCCCAACTACAAATTTTTTTCTTCAAAACCCATGTGATGATGAGTGACATTGTAGGAGCCAACCCTAGGTGTTGCATTAGATGTAACCCAACTAAGCAATTTCATGAGCATGGCATGTCATTTGTTAACTATGTTTATTTAAATACTGACAAATAAAATGTAGCATACATTGTTAATTCAAATAGTGATTTGGATTTTCATTTGCTTTATGTAATGCTTAACAACTCCCTTAAAGTAATAAATCATAAAGTAAATATTAATCAAACCAAAGAATAAAGGCTTAAAGTGAAAACTATTTATATTTTTGTATAAAACCACAACTATTTTTGTCACACAAAATAGCTAAATAAAGTTCCTAATATATATAAAAGAATATTGTGGGCCTCATACCTAAAACTCCAATAAATAGGGTACACCAATTTTGAATTCAAATTCCAAAAAAAACTAAATTCGAATTCAAACAAAAGAGAAGAAAAGAAAAACAGAAAAAAGAAAAGAAAGGAGGAAGCTTCGCAGCCGCCTCGGCCTGCTCGGCTTCGCGGCCCAGCCAGCCCAACCGCGCCCGCCTTCCACCACAGCGCGCGCACGCGGCCCAGCGAGCCGGCCCAGCACGCCGCTCATGCCCGCGCGCCCGTCTGCGCCACCAGCTGCCGCTGCCAACTGGGTCCCGCACGTCAGCCACTTTCGGCAACAATGACGTCTTCCTCCCCACGCCAAACACCTCTCCGACCAAGCCCCGACCGACATGGCAGGTGCGGGCCAGGGGGTCACGTGAATCTCCTGGCCCTGTCCCCTTGCGCCGCGCCTACGCAACCACACGCGGGCCGTTGGATGCGATGCACGCGCCTCCACCGCTCGATCGCCGTCCGCCATGGGTGCCATGGAGCTCGGTTATAAAAGCCTCGGCCCCGGGAGCCCCTGAGCTCTCTCATCGCCCCGCCGCCACTTTGTGGCCGTCCACTACGCACCCGAGCCAAGAGAGAAGAGGGAGAAGAGGAAGAAGAAGGGGGAGCGCCGAAGCCGCACGACATCGCCGGTGTCGCCGGAGCAGAGGACGTCGCCCCGATCAAGCACGTCGACGCTGCTGTTCGGCACGGCATAGCATTGACTCAACACGGCCACGACCCGCCACTGCACCGCCATCCATACGCCTTCGACACCAACGGTGAGCCCCCGGTCCTTCCCTGCTCGCCGCCAGACCATGCTGCTTCGGCCATGGCACTCTACACCAGGAGCGCGTAGGCCAAGGCCGTCTCCGGCCTCTGGGTACACACGCACTCACGCGCACATCCGTAACCACGCCAAGACCGCCCCACCGGCGCCCCGTAGTGCTCCTGCGTGCCTCGCCGTCGCCACCATGCCGCCGAGGACGCCGTGGAGCCCCTACCGGCCACATGGGGACCTGAAGCCCCGCCTTGAGTCCCTAGACGCCCTCGTCGTGCCCCCACAAATCCACAGAAGCCCTTATCCGCCCAACCGAGCCACCAGGGAGCCTACATGCGTGACCTCACCACCGGCAAGCACCGCCGAGCCGCCGATCACCGTGGCTAAAGCCCTAGGAAGCTCTGGCCGCCACTTTGACCCCACCATCGCAGTCGCCATGGCGTGGGGAAGCTTTTCCCCTCCTTAATTGGACACCAGCGCCGCTATGGGAGCTCGTCGGTGAGCTCACCACCGGCGGGAGCACGCCGAGGAAGGAAACAGGAGAAATTCCCCTCGCCGGCCACACGCACATGCACCCCGTGCACATGGACCACAGAGAGAGAAGAGAAGGGTGGACGCGGTCCACCGTAGACCTGTCTGCGGTCCATGGACCAGCGCCCCTGATTCCACCGTGGACCACGAGCCGTAGACCACAGCCCAGTGGAGGCCCAAGGTCGTGACGTGGCTGCGCCACAGCATGCCACGTGGTGGGCTGAGCCCAGCCCAAATCTAGCCCCGTCCAGGCCCACCAAAACCCAGTCGAGACCCAACCTGGTTGCCCGTTGACCGGTCAACATTGATGATGTCATGCTGACGTCAGCTGGACCCCACCTGTCAGCTCGGAATCGAGATAATGACGTTATGCTGACGTCAGCATGCCACGTGGACCAGTCACAGCGTGACATGTGTCAGCCCAGGATTAATTCAGCCTTTTTTCCATTTTCAGAGATGATTTAATCTTCGGAAATTCATAACTAATTCATACGACCTCAGAAAAATATGAAACTAGGACCAAAATTCATCTAAAATGAAGCTCTACGCAATGAACCCATGTTTGAGTGCATTTGGCTCTTTTGAATTTTCATTGCTTCTTTGTGCTATTCTATAGACGTCGCTAACGCGACTATAATGCGATCGTTTGCAGACTCGGAGGAGAACCAGACGGACGAGGATCGTGAGTACCGTGAGGAGTACGGAGACAACTACACTGAATGTGCCACATCCCACCCAATCTTATAGCACCTATTACGCATGGCTAAAATAGAAATGCTAGTGCTTACTTTATTGTCATGATCACACTATGGTAGGACTTGCATGGTAGTATGCTTTCTTGATGGCCTTTACCTTGACGCAACCTTACTCCTGCACACCCTGCTGTTAGGCTAGTCACACGTTTGCTGCTATATTTCATTGCTTATTACCTCTACTACGCTTATTCTACATTGATGCGTGGTGGAAAACTGGTGTTATCTAGACTATGGGGAGAGTGCTGTGTGTGTGACTTGGGTGCGTGGAGGGTGAGGGTTGTGTCGATCAAGTTGGAGTATACGACGAGCCTGGGGCAAGTCTTGCCGTGGGGTGCTACCTGGGCACCCCTGGAATGGATACCTGTGGTGGGTAAATGGTATATGAGGTGGCCCTGGGTGTGAACCTGTGATGGGAGGAGCCCAGGGTGGAGGTGCTGTGGTGGCACGGTAAATGGAAACCCTGATGAAGACATTCTGGCGTGGTCATCCCTAAAGACTTACTAGTACTTAGATTCACCGGGAAGCCTTACGTACCACTCGCCCTATGTGGTGCGGGACGGCCGGACTACTTGGTAGGATATTGCAACTACTGCTAGGTTGATAGCGGACAGTGTAAGGAGGTACGGGGCGCGGAGGATTTCCCCCACACCCTTCCGAGACTTCATGGAGACCTCATGGACCCGGCTCATGACTCACAGTTTCAGCCACCCCATATTAGACTTGGGGTGTACCAGGGCTGAATGGTAGAGTGACATTATCCTAGGATAGCAAGCGGCCGGAATCAACCCAGTTGACGACGGTCAACGAGGAAGGTGGATCTTGTGGTTATGTAAAACCTCTGCAGAGTGTTTGGTTGATCGATCGATACATATGCCGACTTGTCGGCAATGGACCTTTCTTGGGTTTCGCTTAAACTAGATAGTGAGGTGAGTCCTTCTCTTCTCCCCCTGGGAGTGAGTGTTCGGACATAGCTAGGGGCTACGGGCCTTGAGACAGTGCCGAGAGGGAGTTGGCCTGTCGACTAAGCGATGGTATGGTTGTGGTATGGTGATGGTGTGGAGTTGGTGGTAAATCGATCCTAGGATCGAAACCTGGCTCTGAAATGGGAATGGGGTGGAATATGTGTGGGAATGGTGTTAAAACTTAACCAACTATTATTATGTACTTGATATGCTAATACATAGGAAACCCCAACCTTATAGGTTCCTTTTGATTATATCCAACTTGCATCCAATTTCCACAAAGCAATGCTCATAGGGTGGGAGTGGTCAGTACAAATCATACTGATAAATTTTGGCACACAGGTTCTGCTGAGGAGTATAGCTCCGAGGAGTTTGAGGGTTGAGGGGTTCGTTCCTACGCTCAAGTTTGGCGATCTTATCTTCAAGTTGTTCTAAATGAATGCTACTTTTGATTCCGCCAATGCGACGATGTAATAATTTATGTAATTCCGCACTATTTGTACTCTGATATTATTGTTGTATGGATGTGATATTCGACTGGAAATTGGGTAATATGATCTACAACGGTCTTATTA